ATTTAATTTGTAGTTATTGCCTCTTGATACTACTTTGCTAATGAGAACATAGATTTGGATAATCCAAAGACAATTTTAAAAGTCATTTAGATTAGGTTTTGTAATAATTAGGAGGGTGTAGCAGTTGTACTCCAGTTACCTGCAGAGCCTGGGCTACATCCCGAGAGAGTTCCTCTGCCTTTTTTGGGGTGAGACCCAAGCATTTACAGTTTAAATCAAATTAAATTTCATCTACTTTTAAATATAATTTAAAAATTTCCAGATTATTCTAATATGGAATCAGTGTTGAGAACTGTACATAGGCTATGGTTTTGCTCCTACAACTAACCAGTTCTGTGTACAAGGAGAGCACTTTGTGAGTCCTAACAATCTGCGCCCACCTTGTACTACACAGTACACAGAGCTCTTTCACATAGCTCACCTGATTCTCCTAGGGACCATTTTATACCGTAGGAAAGACTTCCAGTGGAAGTGTCTGGTCTAAGCTGATGCAGCTGTTAAGGGGAGGAACCAAGGTTGAATACCAAGACATCTGCCCTTAAATTCTCTTTCTCACCAGCCCACAGTGTTTAGATTTGAGTCCTCAGTTGAAATGGTAGATCTTGAAATAGTTAATCTTTAGAGCCCATCTAGTTATGTATTATAAAGTACTTTTTGCTTGTAGCTATATGTTCTGTAAATTGGCTTGATACAGAATTCTTAAGGTACTGAGAACTGCATTCAAATGTCGAGTGAAGCTCTCAGATTTCTTTGGCCTGCCTCATGAAGACTTCTGTCGTGCGCATGACACCCAGCCTTTCAGAGTACTTCAGAGTAGGGGAAACCGGAATAGTATGTGTTACATGGGGTCAACATAGATGGAAATAAAAAATGTGGATATTGCCTGGACATTTCATATCTATGCCTAATCATTATTGACCTTTATGTATAAGCTTTGATTTTTGACTAACTGGTAGGGGATACATGAGTTAGATTAGATTCAACTGCTGCAAAAGAAAAATAATCACTAGATTTTTATTACATTGGCATTTTATTATATTTGTTATTGCTCTTAATAAATGGCTTATTGCCAGTCTTAAAAATAATTTCTAACATGTAAGATACCCAGGTTTTTCTAATAAGTGTATTTGTGTTAATAAACTTTGACTTCTGTTATGTTTCTATTTTCTTTTTAATATTTAGCCATTAAAGATAGTGGTCAACTATTATAAGTTTCATTTTTAAAAATATGTATTATGAAAGTTAAGCATTATTTCATAGAAAAATATCTTCATATTGACAAATACAGAAAAACATTGGAATATATCAGATACAAAGTCAAGTTTATGCTTCATCTGTTAGATGATGTTAGAAAGTGTTAACACTTCTTTTGGATACCATTTCATTTATTTCTATCGACAGCTTGTACCTTTCTATTAGAGTTCTTTTATGTTGTTTGTTTATTTTAAAATATTTTACTTTGTTTTTTCTCTTTGACTTACTCTTTGTTTGTTTTGTTAATCCTCACCCAAGGATATTTTCCCATTGATTTTTAGAGAGAGTGGAAGGGAGAAAGGGAGGGGGAGAAAGAAAGAGATTGATGTGAGAGACACACATAGATTGGTTGCCTCCCTCACGCACCCCGACTGGGCCAGGGATTGAACCTGCAACCCAGGTACGTGCCCTCGACTGAGAATTGAACCCTGGGCTGATACTCTAACCACTGGGTACCAGCAGCCAGGGCATCTCGCTCATTTTTTTATTGAAAACTTTATACATGAGCATACAGTTAAGATACACTTTAAATTTTTGTAAAATATATTTCATTGATTTTTTAGAAAGAGAGGAAGGGAGGGGGAGAGATAGAAACATTGAGGAGAGAGAAACATCGATCGGCTGCCCCCTGCACACCCCCCATCAGGGATTGAGCCCGCAAACCTGGGCATGTGCCCTGATTAGGAGTTGAACCGGCAACCTCTTGGTCCATGGGTTGATGCTCATCCACTGAGCCACATTGGCTGGGCTTAAGACACACTTTAGACAAAAGGTGTAATGATGACATTGTCTCCTTTCTACCCTAGACCTGTTAGTTCCTTTTCTTAGAAGCAGCTATATATGCTTTTTAAAATTTCTGTGTTTAATTTTTCTGTTCTTTTGAATACAGATGTCAAATATGACTTGTAATAAAAACTACATTACATTTTTCATCATATATTTGATGTATTCTAGTTGTATAATACATTCTAAATAAATGAGATATTGATATTTCTATTTAAGTTCTGCCTTTTATTACTGCTTTAAGTATTATTTTCAATATGTTAATTATCAGTTTACTAGTGATAATTATATATCTCCATGTTATTTTAAAATTAAGCAATTACGTCTATTAAAATTATAAATAGTGTTTGCACTAGAGATTAGTGCGTAATATATTCTATGTGTGTGTGTATGGTATTGTCAGAACCTTTGTATGTTAATGAAATTGTCTTTATTCTGTGTCAAGGTGATGTGAAAAAGTTTTATGAAAAACATTCTTAAGATATTTTCTTAACAGATTTTAAAACTTATTTTAAAAGTTGTCATTTTGCTTTTAGACAATAAGCAGAAAGCAAGAAAAGACGAAAGCATTGGCGTCTTTAAGTGATGAATAGCTTGTGTAGTTCCTTTTGATATAGAGCTGTGAAGTTCAAACTCCCTCTGTTAATAAGACAGTTTGAAATACTGAATAGAAAACTTGATTTCCAGATTCTTTGACACCTTTAGTGTAGTGTTTATGCATTTGGTCTAACAGGAAATGTCAAATTTCAGGAATATTGACCTTTGTTATTGATCTCTTAACCCCTGTTATGTTTTCCTTTCAGTGGGTCACCATGTTAAGAGTAAAATGAAAGTAAGATTAATTTCATAGAATAATATTTTCCTTACTATGTACCTAATGTTAAGTAACTAGCTTAATTTGAGTTTTTACTTGAGGAAAATTTTATTCAGTTTTTTCTAACATGCTTTGTTTCCTTATGGAATTTCAAGTTTTGAAAATGTTCAGATTCAGTTCTAAATTAAAGTGACATCACTGTGCTTCTCTAAATTTAATTTTTCCCACTTTAATTTTTGATAAAAGGAAATTTTATATTTAGTCAGTTTGTTTATGGGAATTATAAGGTATTACAAGAGGTCTTAAATGATACTGGATAGATAATCCAGTTTTCAGATAAGACTGACAAAACAGTTCGACAGTAAGGAAACAAAATGAGAAGCAAAATGTTTACGTTTTTTTCATCAATCAGAATAATTTATTTTAAGTGCTATAAAATCATTGCAAAGGAAATTCTGTTGTGGTGTGATGGATGGAGTAACTTTTTTTTTTTTTATCCTCACCCGAGGATATTTTTCCATTTTTTGTACAGATAGAGTGGGAGGGAGAGAGAGGAAGGGAGAGAGAGAGAGAAACATCGATGTGAAGGGACACGAGTGGCTGCCACCCGCACAACCAACCAGGGCCGGGGACAAACTGCAACCGAAGTACGTGCCCTTAGCAGGAACCGGACCCGGGTCTCTCTGGACCGCAGGCCGATGCTCTAACCGCTGAGCCAAACTGGCCAGGGCGAGAGTAACTTTTTATTTAATCTTTTTATCTGAATACATTTAGAAAGTAGAATCAGTTTTTAAAATCAAAATATGATAGAAATATAGTAGGTGAAAGCATTATCTTTATCTGATTTTGGTTTGAAGATAGCATCTGAATATTTTGGTTTAATTTTTGTAGTTTCGTTTCTAGGTCACAAACTTTTTTTTTTTTTTTTTTTTTAAGATAGAGTGAGAGGGGGAGAGAGAGAGAGAAACATCAATGTGAGAGACATTGATTGAGTGCCTCGTGCACAGCCTTGATTGGGGCCGGGGGTTGAACATGCAACTAAGGTACATGCCCTTGACCAGGAATCGAACCTGCCACTCTTTGGTCTGCAGGCCGATGCTCTAACTGCTGAGCCACACCAGCCAGGGCACAAACCATTTTTTTATGTGCTCTCTGAACATTCAAATATAATAATTGGTGACCAATTTTGTTGTTATTTTAAAATTCTAATACCTATCTTTAACATTCATTAGGGGGCACGTTCAGTTAAGTTGTTCCTATGATAGATGTAAGATACAGTAAGACAGTCCATGTAAGACAAAAAATAGATAACACAAACACAAGCTGTACACACACTTCCTCCTAGGAGACCAATCTCAAAACAAATACAATAATGTAGAGTAGAAAACCTCGACTCAATTGCAGAAATTCCAAAAAAATAACTTGTCACTGTCCTGTGGGTCATGGGCAGGCAGCATGCACAGTAACAGGAGCCTTAGGAAATGTGGCTAGTACCAGGTGGGGAAAGGAGCCATCCTAAAGCTTCTGAGGCTGAGAAAGCTCTCTCCTTTTTCTCTTTCCTGCAATGTTACTCATTCTTGGCTTTTCTGTAAAAAGATATACCAAGTGAGAAGTATGCTGGAACAGGAGAGTAAAATCAGCCTGCAGAAAGTGGCTGAGGCCACATTCTGCTAAACAAGGGGGCTCCAGAAGACATTGGATGTGGTCTTGGCCCTTGAAGTTGGCATTACTAGGTAGTAATGGGCACTGGGAGATACTTTGATATCTCTGTCAGCACACGGTTTTGAGATTTTAGAATTACTAAGTTTTTAACCAATGATACAATATAATGGTAAAGAACTTAAATTCCATATAGTTTTAGGATTTTAAAATGACCAAATTTTTAACCAATGATAAAGAACTTAAGTTTCATATAGTATATGACTATTTCTTTGGCAATCCTGATAGATAAGCATTATTATTACTTCTTAAAAATTAATGCATTGTAAATTGTGAGATTTCCATTCAGCTTTTTAAATTTGTGGCTAGCAGATATTCACATATTTCAAGGCCTCTTTAAATGTTCCTGTGATAAGTGAGCAGAAATTAAATGAGCTCTGTAATGAGTTATTATTAATATTTTTTAATAAAAATGCTGCTACAATTGCAGGTCCTTTTGGAATAAATCATGGGATAGAGCTTCATTCAGATGTGGTGGAATATGCCAAGGAAAAACTGGAGAGCTTCATCAAAAATAGTGATAGCTTTGATAAGTAAGTATTTATATCTATAGTTCTGGTTTTAAAACACTTGATAAATAGATACGTGATGTCTGATCCTCAATAGTATTAGTTTATTAACCCTGAATTGCTCATTTGAATGCAGCAAAAGTCAGTGTGGTATAAAATGAGAAAAAAAATGAACTTATAAAAATATTCTGTGGTATAACTTACTCTGTAAAGGTCTATAGTAAATTTTAAATAACATTTTTTAATCTCATGCTTCTATCACTTTAATAATAAGGTGATGTTTCAGTCATTAAACATAATACAACTACCTTTTCTGAAGATACAGAGATGCTTGGATTAAAAGACTTTTCTGGAACTGGTTTTATACTTTTGGGATAGTAATTCAGTAGTTCTCCCCTCTTTATTTGTAACGTAAGGATAATACTGTTAGCATACAAGGACTTTCTTAAAAAATATTCAGTTATTTTGTAATATATCTATAGGACATTATAATAGAAATACATTGATATATCTTTGATAGGGTAGTGTTTGAGAAATTTGTTTATAAAACCATCGCTTTGAACTCCTGCTTTCCCTTCGAAGAAATAACTGCAGTGTTTGTGGTTTTTCAGCTGGCAGGGAAGTCTCTTTGGTGTGTGATATTTCTAAAATTCAGCAATGATAATACTATGGAACAAGGGCTTCTTATGCTAAAGTCTATGAACTCTGAAATTATGTAAAATTTGGAGGGCATTTATCTCTCTCAACTAGTCATATTTTCAAAGAACACATTATAAGGATAGGAATCACAAGCTTGCAACTTCATTTTATACAACTAAGTTTTAATGTAAAACCATTCAGAGTTCCAACTCGACTTGTTGGGAGTAAAAGCCTTTCTCAGTCATCTCTAGGCCCTGGCCGTGTTGGTGAGAAACTTGGAGTCCAGATCAGAGATGGGAGCTTTTTTCTAGAGAGCTTAGGCCTGGGGACGTGCTAAGAAGGAAGCCAAGGAGGTGCTATGGATGGATGTCTGCTGGGTGTAGTTTTCTTCTCCCTTTCTCTGCCCATTCTCCCCCCACCCCTTGTCTTTTGTCTTTTATTCCCCTTTGCCTTTGCCATTGCCACTTTGTATTTGGCAAGAGGCACTTGATTGGTTGAAAAACAGATACTCTGCAGTAAAACCCTCAGTGTTGTAGAGGGAAGGGGAGGTTTTGTGTCTACTTAGGTATGATTGCAACTGGGTTATTGAAGACCTCAGTCAGGCAAGCTTGGAAGAATTTGGAAATGCTCAGAATTTATTTTATCTATAATTAATTCAATGGCTTTGAGCAAGCCACTTGCATTTTTTGCATCAGTATGCTGAATGCTATCCTTTAGCTTACTGATGTTTGTCTTTATAAGTAATTAACACTTAATTCATATATTGAATTATTTTTCAAGTGCTTACTGTGTTGGTTCATATTCTATTGAGTATCATATTGATAGAAATAAAATAGTTTTATCTCAAATAATTTTATAAGAAATTGGGGTTCAAATTTAGCATCCTTTTATACTTATGTCTTAAGATGTGGATATAAATATTTTTTATATTTAGTGGAACTATAGAATTCCATTAAACTTAATTGAACTTCTATTGTTTTAAGTTTTTGTTTTGATGTGGAAACTATATATACATAAGGACATTTTGAATACATTTGAATTTAGAACATATAAATTAGTAGTGTTAGTAAAAGTAGATGTTTAAGGTCTATATATTATAAGGTCTTTTATATATATGTGAGACAGTAATAATGCATTTTATGTTTCAATACATGATGGCACAGCTGATTCAGTTACTAATCAAGCAGAACAAACTCAAGGAAGTATTTTGAATCACCTCTATACAAGTGTCTTTAGAGCTCAATTTTATTGCTGACAAGTGGCCGTGGCCCTAGGACACCATGAAAAATGTCATTATTTAAAGCATTTTATTATGTTGATGTAACTGAAATATTAAATGCTCTGTAATAGAGATAAGTTTGAAGACTATATGTATTTTAGGGTTTCAGTTTTTTAAAATTTTCTAAAATTGTTTTCATGTTACTGTAAAATGATCAGATTTCCTTGGCTGTATTTGATATTGTTGCATTATAGAGCTTTGTCATTCATAAAATGATGAATCATAAAATATGGTGATGTGACTGATCTCAGTGTTTCTTATTTTTAAAGGTCTAGTTATTTTAATTTAAATAACTAATAAGATTATATAATAGAGTTGTTTCTGAAGTGTTGCAACTGATTTTTAAAACTGATTCTTACATTAATAAACTAGTCTGAAAAAATTAGTTCTGGAAATATTATCTATTCTGTTTTTCAAGTAGTATTCTGAAATGTTAGTTATATGTTTCAGATTGTAGAAGTATGTTGCTTACAAAGAATAGTGGGTACTGGGAAAATATTTCATTTTGCATAAAGTAGTGAGTGGTTGGAAATGAAATAATCAGAGTTTCTGAGTCATTCATTGGCTTTTTTTTGTCTTTTTATATCACTTGCTTTTTAGTGACAGAAATTAAAAAGATATAGTAGTTTTCTTTTTGTGTTTGATGATTGCCTAGTAATTTTTCTTGGTGTTTGTGGATAATAATTCTTACATTAATTAAAAAGAAACTTGCCATGCAAAATGATTTTAAAAATTCCATTTCTAAGCAGTTTCATTATATTTAATTGTGTATAGGTCATTAAAATACATATTTTAATTTAAAAAATATTAAAATAACCCAGGAATATTGGTTGCTCTTTCTGCCTTCCTTAGTACCAGATTCTCTTGGATTACATGAACTACAGGGAGAACAGAGAGCTCACACATAATAGTCTTCCAGTCCTGTTTATGCTGTCTTTTCCTTTTTCGAAAGTATTGCCATGTCACTTAGGATTTTATGATTTAAACTAAGTCTTTAAAGTTTTCTTACATATATTTTTGGAGTCCATAGTGAACTTCCAAATATAGTGGGTGAGAAAAAAATCGATAAACTACTCAACATTAGACTATATAATGTCAGATGACTTTTTAAAAGATACAAATGTGTGTTTGTGTGTGTGCTTCATAAAGCAATCTTGGTTCCTGAGTCTTGAAAGTAGTAGTTTTTCTTTTAGGAACAAGTAACTTTATAATGCATGTATTTTCAGACTTTTTTCTATGTCTTAGACCTGTATCAGCAGATGAAATAATTTGGAGAAGCCACTCTGAATTTACTGTAACTTGGAGATGGGAGGGATGGGGGAGTCCTCTTGTATGGTTTATTCCTTTGCTACACCTAAGGTAACCCCAGATTCACTGAAATGCCTTTACTATAAAACTGACATTTGATTTTAGGTGTCCTCTAAAACATTGGCAAACTTTCCCAGTAAAGGACCAGGTAGTAAGTATTTTAGGTTTCCTGGGCTAAATTATCTCTGTTGCAGTTCAACTCTGCTGTTACAGGGAAAAGCAGTCGTAGACGCTGTGCAGACAAATGGGCACAGGGGTGTTATCTTTGTTATGTGCCATTGAGTTGGCTCTGACTCCTGATGACCCTTTGAATGACTGATGTCTCAATGTCCTCTTATAAATAGCCCTGCTCAGTTCCTGTAGACTCATTCCTATGGCTTATTTGTAGAGTCAGTACATCTCATATTTAGTCTTGTTCTTGCTTTTATTTTTCCCAGCATTATTGTCTCTTCCAAAGAACCCTGCCTTCTCATGATGTCATGAAGTGGGACCGCTTCAGTTTTGTCATTTTTGCCTCCATCAATGTTTCAGGCTTGATTTGCCCCAAGACACTCTTGTTCATCTTGGTGGTGGTCCAGGGTATCTAGATGGACACTTTATAACAACAAGCAGCAGGTGGGATTTGACCGTTACCCACAGTTCGCTGACCCCCACTCTACTCTTCACACAAACTCTCCAGAAAATCTTTGTTTAGCTCTCTCTTGTCTAGGGAAGCCTTTGGGCCAAGTTTTAAAGGCTCTTAGGTGTTTGTCTTTCACAATGGAAGGAGGAAGTTGGGAAAGGCCAAATTATATGAATCAGTATTTGAGCATGTGCAGTAAGCAAAGGAATCTCTCCAGCTGTGTTTACTTGGAAGAGTTAAGTCAGTAAAAGGATCCTAAATTGTAAAGCTTTACCCTATAAATACTTTGCAAATGAGTTAGAAATGGTATAGCATTTATTTATAGCTGCATCTATATCTTTATATAATATGTAAACATGTGCATGTAGTGGACTTGGCTTCCTGGAGTGCATGCTTTGCGGAGTGCTGTTTCCCTCTAAGACAGTAGATCCCAGCACCCCTCTTCCCAAGGATACTGTAGCGGATTTCAGAAGTATTTTAATGTCAGTAGTCAAATGAGTACAGCATAGTCTGATTTATTGAAGATTTTCTTTCTATTTAAATGCATTTGTTTTTATATAGTTTGTCATATAAATGAATCACGTTTTGAGTACTAAAAACAGTAATGAGATGATAAAAATAGTAGCACCTAATACATACTGTTTCTTCATTAAATACCATGTACCATTCTAAGTGCGTTGTACACAGCCCTAGAGACTATTGGTGTCCACATTTCCCAAATGGGAAAGCAGAGCTAGACAGCCTGTAACCTCACCTAGGCCAGTCTTACTAGTTCTGATTTAGGTATGACTGTGTAAACCATGATTTATTCTAATATTTCTTCCCTACAGTAAGCTGCTACTGGTGAATTACAGACTAGCAACTTAGCTCCATATGCAAAGTTGAAGCAGCACTTTAAGTTTTATCATTTATGTCCTTCAGATTAGAATTAAGGAGTGCTGTTTACAGGGTTAAAGGTACCACAGCATTTTTATTCCAAAGCACACCTACCCTGCTCATTAATGAGACTATGGCGTGAATTACTATTGGGGGCAGAGATGAGTGGAAGAGGCTATGTGTTCCTCAAATTTAGTTGAGGTGTAACTTTTAAATTAAATTCAAAGACAGTATAGTCTTTTATTATAGGAGATTTAATTGCTTTATGGAAATGTGTAGTGTCCTAATTTTGTTTTTAGTGATAGGTATTCATTTTTCATGTGATTTGCATTGGAAAAATTAAATGCTTCTCTGTTTTGTCAGCTTTATCACAAGAGTAGTCCTGCTTAGCCTGTAAGAGAACTATAGTACACTGGAAGTAGTTTTGCTGTCTAGAAATATATATTAACATTATTTCAAAATATTTCTCACAGAATTTGAAGATTTTTTATGCCAAAAATGTTCAGATGGTAGTTTTATAACAATTATTACAAGTTGTAAACACAGTTTTTAACCATGAAAAACATTCGTATGGTGGGACAGAGAAATTCTTAAAAATAGTCCTCAGAGCTGTCAGTTACATATTTTAAAATCAGTTAAATGGCATGGGGAAAAGTTTAACGGCTTCAAACACATTATTAGGAGAAAAATTATTGTTGAAATACTTGAAGTTTCACTTTGGTATTGTGAGAGGTTGTTTTTGATTTTTCTTAAAGCTTCACTGAATGAAAAATTACTGTATTTACTTTTAGCGCATTGCTTTATTTACATAATGCTTGAGTTATTCTGGGATGAGTTTGATGCATTTGGAAGGGAAACACTTGAAAAGGTAAAGTCATTGGTTTTTAAAATTTTTTAAATTCAAGCAGTTTATTTATTGTAAGAGGTTTTGAATGGTTTAACAGCATTTGGAGATCAAAAGATTAACATATCCCTGGGTTTTCTTCCCAATGGAAAGTTCTGAAATTTCATCCTATTGTAATGAAATAGTCATAGCTCTTATAACTCAAAATGTATACTTTGACAAAGTGTTTTACAAAAAAGATTTCTGTGATTTATTTGGCAGCTTGTTTTGGATGAGGTATGAGATCAAGGTAGGATTTTTTTTCTATGTCCTTGAAATTCTTGATTCCATTGAAAGAGTAGTCTAAAATTTCAATGACAGCATCCTGTGGCACGTGATAAACTAGGTGTGCAAATTGTCAGCCCCACCTCAACAGTGTATTGAAGGGGAATGTTGTTTTTTCTACTCTCAGTCAGCTCCTAGACCTAGACTATCCGTCTAAGAGGGAAGCTGCAGGGCAAGGCTAGGTCACCCTGATCTCCTAGCAGCTTATCAAAAGAATTATATGGGCAAGTTGGCAAGGTCCCTGCTGTGAACGAAATCATCTGTCCGTCTCGAGATGAAGATATTCCAACATGCACCTGTAAAGAAAACCACTGCTAAGGTAAGTGATTAGAATCCTGGTGTTATTTTGAGCAAGTATTCATGTAAACCAAGATATATGTGTGTTCTCTATTTTCTCAAATTATTTTCTGTGTACATTTAGTAAGAGTACATCAAATATTTTTTCCCTCTCTGCATAAGAGAGTCTAAAAAGCAGTCATTAAAATTGAGATCAATAAAAAGTCTAAAGTCAGTGAATTTGTAGTTATTACACACATTGCAGGACTATTTTTTTTATATAGATAACATTGTTGGGAGACATAATTTAGTATAATTTAAGACTCATCTGTATCTGAGAAACTTTGTTTTGGAAATGTTCTTTAAAGAATAAAAATGATTTCTGCTTTTCTTTTTAATAAGACATAAAATTTTAATGAACTCCCCTAAATAAACATAAAAATTAGGGAAAGAATGTGTGAACCATACTTTTATGAGTAGAATTATAACCATATAGGAAGTGGCATTTTGGTAGACCTCTTGCTATTTTTTATTATTTTATTTTTTTATTTCATGTAGTATGTGGTTGATGTGAAAGGTGGAATTTGGATTTTCTCTCTTAGTATTTTTAGCTCAGATTTTATGTGTAAATCTATAAATAGTGTAGTACTGTTTTGTAATGAACTGAAAACTTCTAGTTAGTTTATTGCTATAGTCTTCTAGATTATACAGAAAATGTATTTGTGGTTTAAAGTATGTCCTTTGCCTGTAGAGGTCTCTGGAAACTTAGATAAGCTGCAGCACTCAGAAGATAGTAAAAGCCTAAGGTAGAAAATGTTTTCTTTATATTTCTTCTCTACATTGGAAGAATTAATCGGATTTGTAGTTTACCCTGATAAATGGTAATCATCATCTATGTCTTAAAGCAATAATTTGTTCTTCATATATATAATACAAACATATGATATGGATATGAGCATATCCATAAACATTTACCTGGAAAATTTTCATTATAGGCTTTTTGAAAAAATATTTCAATTGATATGAATTAATTTATATGAGATACTATTATAAAATAATAATTTTAGTATCAGAATACAAAATGTCTAAGTAGTATCCTCAACTGTATACCTAGTCAGAAATACAAAGGTCATCTATATGTTTTTTATTAGGAAAGGTGACCTATAGCCCATTTATATATGAAAACAATAATGTAAATATGTGCATTTTGAAAGTTGTTTTCTTTACTAATGTGAAGGATTCTTGTAGTATTTAGTGGAAAAGGTCATAGTTGTAAGTATAATATATAATCCCCAGATAGAATACTCTCTGGCAGAGTTTTTTATAACTGTTAAATTGGTAGTATTAACTATGTAATGTATTTGGTGTGTGAATTTGCTATTATGTTCTAGATATTTTAGTGCCAACATTTAAAAATATTACACTTTTCTCCTCAGTTTTACTATGTCCTTGAGGTTTTAATATTTTGTATCTAGTAGTAGTTCAATCCTTTTGAAATGTTGGCTCAAGTTCAATTAAACTTTCAAATTAGAATATTCTGGTAAAGAAAATTAATATAAATATGTTAAGTAAAAGTATAAAGACCCCATATGAATATGTTCCATTTGCACTAATAGAAATTATTTATAAATTTAGAGATCTAATTTTTCTCTAATGATCCTTTATAATACTTTCTACATAAGAGCAAATATTCTTGTTCTCATGTGTGTTTAAGGGAAAACATCAAGTTGTTTCTTAGAATAAGGGTGGCTCATTTAAGATCTGAAGAATGGCTTCTAAAAAGTGCCTTTCAGTGACATAGACCAGTTGATTTATTCATAAAAGGAAAGGGTTTGTTTTACTATTTGAGTTTTGCTTTTTTTTTTTTTGGCATTTTTTGGGGTGGGGGGAGGGAAGCTCATGCATCTTGTAACATTAAACTACAGTTATTTATAGTAACCAATTTCGTAAAACAAGAACCAGCATGTCGACACAGACAGTGCCATAAACATTTATTAATTTATTTATCTATCTATCTGGGCAATTTTCTCTTCTAGTTCTGAGTTTTTTGTGATTAGCATTTTAAATTTGTCAGCTTTGGGTTCATATTCAAAGTTGGTAGAAAAGTTGACAAAACATTTATGTTTTTTATATGGTTTGCTTATTTAGTAAATGTTTTTCAAGGACTGGAATAGGTGATGAAGATACAGTTAATTCAGCAGAAATTTTCAGACAGCAGGAGACCAGGAGAATGTTTCAAAGGGATGCCTGTGTTAAGGAGACAGTCTTTGCAGCTCCTGCTGACAGGTGATATGGAGAAGGGCAGTTGCTGGAATTTATGTGGCTGTTGAAATATGTATCATATATAAATATATACATAAATATAAAATAAATGTTGAGATATTTTTCTTCTTTTTTGTATGGAATCTTTGAAATCCCAGGTTAATTTTATTCTTACAATACACTTCAGAATGGACTAGCCACACTTGAAGGGCTTAGTATGCACATGGGGCTAGTGGATCCTCTCTTGGATTTTGTGGCTCTAGTTCGTCATGTCTCATTTTTAAGATCATAGCTTCTCATTTCTCAGGGAATCTTTCTCTGCCTCCCCAGGTCTGTTAATTTTCTTTCATCCTCAGTCTTATAGAATCATATTTCTTTCCTTTAAAATATTTACCATAGTTGTTAATTAATCTTTAAATAGATAGTTTGATACTTGTCTCTTCCACAAATGTGGGCATGTATGTTTTCCATTGTATTTCCAGTCATTATACATAGCTGGTGCCCAGTAAGTAGTATTTGACATAATGAATTTTACTAATTACTCGTATAAAGTAACTTGACCAGGGTCACATTTAATTTTAGATCAGGCACTAAATTCTTGCTAATTCATTTTGCTGGGACAAGAATGTGTAAAATATCACTAGTATGAGAAGTAGTTTTAATTGTAAGTTGTTCAGTTGTAATTATGTTTTTCTAGGTGATAGTTTTTATAAGCTATCACATGTTTTTAAATAGTAGGAAGCTTTTAAAACTATAGGACTATTTCCAAGTTTATTGAATAGACTTAATGGTAAAAAGGTGTTTAATAATTCAAAATTTTATTAAAATTTTTTTGTTCACATCCTGATAATTATGACAGACTTAAGTTATTATAAAAGTAAATTATTTAAAATGAATGAAGATTTTTAGATAGACTTCATTGAAAATAATCTAACTTTTTTTTAATATGTTTTCTTTTAATTGATTTTTTTTAGAGAGAGAAGAAGGGAGAGAGAGATAGAAACATTGATCTGAGAGAGATACGTAGATTGGCTGCCTTCTGCACACCCTGTACTAGGGATTGAGCCTGCAACACAGGCATGTGCTCTCACCAGGAATCGAACTGGGACCTCTCAGTCCAAGGGACGATGCTCAGTCCACCGAGCCACACCGGCCAGGCTTTTTCTTTTTAAAGAATGCTTATTGTGAGTTTGATAAAATGATTAAACCACCCGATCCACAGTATCTAATTATTTGAAAGTCAACAAATTATATTTTGGCCGTATTTTATACAGTCATAGGTTGTACCATAGTCTTGAGTATAAAAGAGAAATTACACATGATCCCTAATGTAGGTAAATTTACACCTTGTGTGTGCAATGCAAGTGGAAAGAATGAGAGGTACTATTAAAGAGTTGGATAAGATTTCATTGCAAAGCTAATATTTGCACTGTATCTTTAAGGGATAGTAGGCATTTATCAAAGGAACAGCATGTCCACAGATACAGTGTTTCAAAATACTTTATAATAGTTTCTCTAAGCAATTAGAAGCAAATAATTCAACATAGTATGTATGGGTGAGTGCAGAGCCAGGAAATTATTCTGGACGGACAACCTGACAATAGAATCATAAAGAGCCCTCATGACATTCCAAGGAGCTTGAATTTGTCCTGCCCTGTAGGTAGCAAAATGGTGGAAGGGAGACCTGACAGGTGTGAGCAGTGAGGAGGAAGTTAGAGTAAAAGAAATAACGGGGCATAGACTATCTTAGTGTGGGGATATGCAGAAGAGATGATAGGGTATACACAGTTTACTGCCCCCGCCCAACCCATCAACCCTTCCCATCCCACTCCCACCCCGCTCCACCAAGAAGACAGGAAATTGAAGACAGGGTGTAATTCTGGTAGATTCTTCTTTCACTATCAGGGATCATAATGTGTCTGTATTTTAATGGAAACTTACTGTGTCATAAGTCTGTTAATTACCAAAGGACAGGAGATATATATATATATATATATATATTTTACAAAGTATAAATGATTGTGATTCAATCAGTGTCATGTTTCACTGTGTGCTGGAACTTTTAATGTAAACTACTTTATCCTTAAATGATAGCTTGATTTTGCTGTGTGATCCTATTAACATTTATCAAGTTAAAAGTGAAAGGATATTTTATTAATTAATTTTTAAAATGACTACATTTCAGTGCATTGAGATTGTAATTATGTTATATGTTAGAGATTATTTCAGGTTTGTCAGAAATGAAGGAATAAAGTAGAAGTCTAACTAGAAAAGTTTATAAACTCACAACTCCATATGCCATGAACCAACACTGTAACCAGGAACAAGTGGCCAGCATAAATGCCTTTGTTTTGAAACCACTTCCCTTCTTCTGTTGCCCAGGGAGATCATGGGGCCAGGGTAGCAGTAAAACAATTACTGTTCATTCTGCTCTCTGTCCCAGTCCTGCAACATAGTTCTGCTAAAATTTATTAGGAAAATCTCCCTCGTCTTAGTAGTTGCAAGGGTATATGGTCACACTGGTATCTTTCTGACAAAGTTTGCTCCTGTTAATTGCAGCAAAATCTCACAGATGAATACTCTCCAGCCCTTCCCATGTCCAATGGCCCCTCAGGCTTTTTTGGAAAGGACAGTGGAAGATGGAGCCTTTTGTCTTTTTTTTTCTCTGTGATTCTTACCCTTATCATATATCATTTGTGTGGTGTCACAAGATTGGTGTTGTGATGGACTTTTCATTATATTCATTTTTAAGTCTTAAGTGAGGTTTCAGTGTGGCAAAAATATAGGTTGATGTTTTAAAAATGTTTATACCATGTTTATAATAAAAATAATATATTTAATCAGCGTTAAACTTCATAAGTATGACATTTAAATCAAATTTCATAATAATATTTTATCCTTAGAATTAATTTTGGTAACTTCACTACTTCAAAGAATTGGATTATGTTAAAATTTTTTTTCATCTAATTTTTTTGTTTTAATGAATTGAAATATATTTGTTTTTCTATGCAGATTTGAATTTTGTGAACCTGCATTTGTGGTTGGCAATTGCCTCCAGATAGCATCTGACAGTCATCAGTATGATCGAATCTATTGCGGAGCCGGAGTTCAGAAGGACCATGAAAACTACATGAAAATATTACTGAAAGTTGGAGGCATTCTAGTCATGCCCATAGAAGATCAGGTACCTTCACTGTCCTTTTGTGTAATGGCAGAAAACAAAAGTGTAACACCAGAAAAGTTACAGTGTAACTTTTTTGTTGTTGTTGTTCAGATAGAGTGGGAGGGAGAGAGAGGAAAAGAGAGAGAGAAACATCCACGTGAAAGGGAAACATCGAGTTGCTGCCACCCGCACGACCCAACCAGGGCCGGGGACAAACTGCAACCGAGGTACGTGCCCTTAGCGGGAACCGAACCCGGGTCTCCCTGGACCGCAGGTGGATGCTCTAACCGCTGAGCCAAACTGGCCAGGGCTACAATGTAACTTCATAGAAGAAATAATCTTCCTAGATCTATGTACATAAAACATTTTGAAATGGATCTTAATTATTTAACCAAAGCAGATACAGAAGAGTTCCCTATACCAGTATTAGAAGAGACTTGGTCTCTTACCCATGCTTTGCTACTGTCTTCCGTGGTACAGCAGTCCACCCCACGCTTGGTTTCACCCTGTGCTATCTCAGTTACTTGTGGTCAGCCATGGTCTGAAAATATTAAGTGGAAGTTTCCAGAAACAAATAATTCATCAATTTTAAATTGTGCCACGTTCTGAGTAGTGTGATAAAATCTTGAGCCCTCTCACTCCATCCTGCCTGGGGCGTGTGTCATCCCTTTGTCCATCCTAGCCACAGTGTGCACTCTACCCGCCCTAGGTACTTAGTAGCCCTCTCAGGTATCAGACCGACTGTGGTGGTAATGCAGTGCCTGTGTTCAGCTTACTTCACTCAGTCATTGCCCAGACTGCAAGAGCAGTGATGCTGTCCAACTGCATGTGTCAAAGAAGCTGCAAAGGGCTTCCTTTAACTGCAAAGGTTAGGTTCTTAACTTAATGAGGCATTGTATGATCTCACATTATCACAGCAAGAATGGGCAGTACAGCAAAATACGGTGTTTTGAAAGAGAAAGGGACCATATTTACATAACTTTTATTACAGTATGTTCTTATAATTCTGTTTTATTATTAGCTATTGTTAATGTGTTACTGTGATTTATTTATTTATTTATTTATTTTTATCCTCACCCAAGGACATTTTTCCATTTTTTGTTCAGGTAGAGTGGGAGGGAGAGAGAGGAACAGAGAGAGAGAGAGAAACATCGATGTGAAAGGGACACATCGAGTGGCTGCCACCCGCACAACCGACCAGGGCCGGGGACAAACTGCAACCGAGGTACGTGCCCTTAGCGGGAACCGAACCCGGGTCTCTGAGGACCGCAGGCCTACGCTCTAACCGCTGAGCCAAACCGGCCAGGGCTGTTACTGTGATTTAGACTCATTTGAAAATATTTTTTACCTATTTATTTGCCCTCCGGTGGTTTGGAATTATTAGGTATAACAAATGTATGAAATACTAATTTATTCAGAAAATGGGTGAATCTTTCAAAAGCAAATTTCATTAAAAATTTATAAAAATAAATTTCAAAAAATAGATTTAATATTCATATTAACCCAAATCTGAGATGTTTAAAACACTGTGTGGTTTGTATGGTAGAAGATAGATTGTCTAAGATGACTGGGACCTGGCATGATGTTTTGGAGTTTATATATGTTGGGGGTCCCTTAACATCACAATATATTATTTGCATCTCAGTGGATTTCATCATTATTATGCACTGTGCAAATTGTCAGTTATTAAAAAGATATAATATAGAAACATTCACTGAAAAATGTTCCTGGAAAAATGTTACTTGAATATTTCCAGAGTTGAGACTCTCTAGATGAACAGTCTTTTTCTGTTTTCCTTTAAAGCTACATTTTCAGATATTTAAAATATGGCTTCCTACTGGTGTTCCATTAAATATTTATTATATACTGTTATACTGATGTGAAATATAATAATGATTTTTATGATATAAATTAAAGGTACTAACTTGATCAAGCTGTGTACTGTGCTAATCTTTATCCAAGGACTGGTGATGAATGTTAGGCACAACTTCTAAACCCTTTGTGACTAATTATTTTTATTAGTGAAATATTAAATTGAGATTAGAATTAGAATCTGTATTTTATTGCCATCAGGGAAGATCATGAAGTTGACTCATTGTACAGTAATCAAGACATGGTTTTAATAGAATGCTTTAACCAAGCGCCTGAACTTATGAGACATGTTTCGGGAGCCAGTGGCAGGTACGGACTGGAACTCTGCCCCTGGAAGCCTTCAGACCCAGACGTATTAGCACAGAGACTTGGCCATATTTGGATGATCTGTTTACATTGGAATATCTACCTTCAGCCAATATTTGTGATTCCTTCTTTATTATTTTATAGTAATATTAAGTGAAAGTAATTTGGTTGCATTCAAATACAAGTGATTATATGGCAATTATTGGCAATTAGTCTGGTAAAAAAAAGTTGTGATTGTAAGCCAATCACATTTCCAGAATTAAGCGATTCTCTTTCTTTTCCCCCCTCTAAATAGTTAACACAAATTATGCGAACTGGACAGAACACTTGGGAAAGTAAAAATATTCTTGCTGTTTCATTTGCTCCACTTGTGCAGCCAAGTAAGAATGACAATGGCAAACCAGATTCTGTTGGACTCCGTAAGTAACCGTGGTCCCTTCCAGTCGAACTGTGTCTTCAACTCCGATGCTTACGATTTAATAGACTCTAGAATTAAAAAGATATGCAGTAATGTATTCAATGGATTTATTCACCTTTTTCTTTAAACATAAAGCCCTACGTGGCACCAGACACTGTTAGTTGCCTTCATGGAAACGTGAAAAGAAGGAGCAAGTCAAACAAAAATGAATTTATTAATTATAGTTGTGAAATTGGTGGCATTATACAGAGGGATAGCAAACACAAAAGCCTTTATTTAGGCTGAAAAGTGCTCGGTCATTCTGAGACCAGAAAATACATTTTAGGGTAGTTGAAGCTCATTGGCTACGCTGTAGAAGATAAATTATACAAGACTTTTCTTAGGCTTGAGGAGAGAGTCAGTGTTGATGTGGATATAGTTGGTTGTTTGGAGGCAGAAAAATTGTGGACTATATAGCAGATGTTGGTGGAGGAGAAAAAGGGATCTCAAGTTTGACTTGAACAGCTAGCTAGGTGATGGTACCATTTATTGGTGTTTGGAAGACGACGGGGGTGGAATAGTTTGGAGATAGGTGTAGGAAGATCAGATACTTGTTTTGTCCATGTTTGTGCTTTCTATTAGCATTGTAAATGTTAGGTTGTGAATGGGTCTATACCGACTGCAAGAAGGACGTATAAACTGAGAATCCTGAACATGAAGATGGCATTTTAAGCTGTGAGAATGGATGAGAAAAGTTAGGGGAGAGAGGAGATACAGAGAGAGGTGTTGGAGATAAAACAGAGGGCATGTATTAGCACAGATGGGAATGGGAAGACCAGAGAGATGGGAAGACAGCACAGTGTGTTGACAACCAAGAAAGAAAAGTATTTCAAACTGGAGGGAATGAGCCACTGAGTGAAGGTTACTGAGAACTTGAGAAGGAAGAAGGCACCATTAAGTAAAGTTCTTTACCATAAATGAACTTTACCATCATAGGATATTCTTCTGTTTATCTCAGGTAGTGTGGGAGGGAGGGAGACAAATATCGACGTGAGAGGGATACATTGACTGGTTGCCTCCCACACGGCCCTGGTGACCCCAACCAGGGCCGAGGACTAACTGCAACCGAGTTACGGGCCCTTGACTGGACTCGAGCCCGCAACTCTTTGGTCTGTGGGCCAACACTTGAACCGCTGAGCCCAACCAGCCAGGGCTTTAATTTGATTATTCAATGAATTTATTCCATAGGAACCTGGCTTTATAGAGAGATTTAGTTTTCAGTGTGTATTTCCTAATGGAAAAGGGAAGGGAAAGGAGAGAACCACACATGCCAGCTGCTTCTTACACACCCACAAACTGTACAAGCCGCTCACCACTCATGCCAGCTGCTTCTTACACACCCACAAACTGTACAAGCCGCTCACCACTCATGCCAGCTGCTTCTTACACACCCACAAACTGTACAAGCCACTCATGCTGCCCTGAGGAGGACTGGGTGGTGACACGGAGAGCCCGTGTGGGTGGCAGCAGCATGGAGGTCTCCTCCCGCAGAGGCCTGACCAGCACTTTCTCCGAGGGAGAAGAGCTGCCCTCAGAGACACACTGACCACTTCATGGAGTCATAAGATTCATAAATCCTGACACAGTACTCTTACTTTGATCTCATTTAGAAAGAAATTAGGCACTTGGTTCTAAATAATTTTCAACCTTTTATAATTCAGAAAGCATTAAGTATTTTTTTCAGCTATATTCGTTAACATATACTACTTACAAAAAGGATTTGAGTCAACCTGTACAGCAAATTGCATTAAACTATTATATAAAGAAATTTTAAAAATAAGCATGACTAAAAATAAAAAAGGATTATAAAAAAGACTCATTCTATTAGAAATATGAAGTTACTCCATGGGGATGTTAAATTTAAATTTTCTTCCAGTCTAGTAAAAAAAGATACATATTTAAAAAAAATTTTTTTAATTGATTTTAGAGAGAGAGGAAGGGAGAGGGGGAAAGATGGAAACATCGAGGAGACAGAACATCAATTGGCCGCCTCCTGCATGCCCCCACTTGGGATGGGGCCCACAACCTGGGCATGTGCCCTGACCCGGAATCGAACTGGTGACCCCTTGGTGCATGGGTCAACGCTCAGCCACTGAGACTCATCAGCTGGGCAGAAAGATACACACACTTTGGATGTGCTTTGGGACCAAAAGGGACTTATTTCTTTTTAGCACCAGAATCAAGTAATTGTCACTTGTATTCATTCACCTGCGTTATACAGTTATTTCACTAACGTCTACCTTTCTTGTTGACTACACACCCCTCCCCATATGTACACATGTATTGTGTGTGTGTGTATAAATGTATATGTATAATAAATATACTACTATAGTTTATAGTAGACTATAATTATTAAATACTTAAACTCCTTGCTAAAAGCAGCAATAGTTACAAAATAAAACTATTTTTTTCCTCTTGTTTTCTAAACATTAGACTTATAGGTTATTTATGATAGTTTTGTTTAACCTGTCATAGCTGGTTGGCGAGTCACAAAGAGAGGTGATGAGGAAATTCTCTGACGCAGTTTGGTTTTCCCGCGGCGTACCCGCGAGCGTCCTGTGTGTCACGTACACCTGTACTCAGTTCCCGTGGATTCCTGCCACAGCTATTTTAGTGGTTTACTTTGCAGCTGACGCTATTATAACCCTCAGCATTTCCCATTTTACTTGACAGGTTTTCTAGTTTGGTTTCCTTTAGAAGAATCTTGGTTGTAAATGTGGTTTTATAGTAACATATATTATGAATGGCATGGATAGTGATATTCTTTAAATGAGCAGTTTTTGTTCTCCCTCATTTTTAAGGATGTCAACAAATAGATTTAGGTAGTTCATAAGACTCATTGGTTGGATTGATTGACATTTGTAACTCAGTGTAAAGTGGGAACACATTTGATGGAAGAGGATAAAATGGGGGAAGAGCCTAAATTAAAAAAAATCCATTATACCTATGAAATATTGGTGGGTAAAATGATCTAAATCTTTTTTATCAAAATAATCTGGGTGGGGATGGGAAGAGGAAGTAGAAGTGTTGATGAAGTAAAATTAGCTATAAGGGATAATTGTTGAAGATGATTGTCGGGTATATGGGGTTCATTATGCTGTTGCCTCTCTCTTTATATATACTTGAAAATCTAAAGTAAAAAAAGAGAAGAAAAAGTCTTTAGCTATCAAGAGCACCTTATAAAATGAGTCAGAAAAGACCAGTTTCTAAAAAGTGGAAAACTTTATATATAGTAATGTTTACAGAATAAAAAATATTTTTAAATTATTGTCAAAGTTGAAAAGGATGTATGGAGAATAAGAACAAGTTTCCAATCAGGAGGGTGAAGAACTTTGGGGTGAAGCTCACGTGGATGCTTTTAGTACGGTCCAACCTCGGATCTCGAACATCTCCTGTCTCCAACAATTCGGTTCTCTTCCAAGCTGTTCACGGGGTAAAAATGTCTCGGTTGTCAAACAAAACTTCAGTTCTTGATCCAACAGCACTTTGGTGCTGATACCTGTATGATCAGTCTCACATCTCTCAGGCGACAACCCAGAGGAAGAATGCGTGAATGGGAGTCAGTTTACCTCCAAGCCTCTCGTTACTATCTCAGGAAATCGTGCTGTGACTATTTTCATGTCTTTTTTTTGCCTTTGTTGCTGCTTACTGTTATTAAATACATATAGTAAGTCACCACGGATCCTAAGAAGGTTAGTGCTAGCAGCAAAATGAAGACGAAAGTTGTGAGGAAAATGATAGAGCTTTAAAAAAGTTCTTAAAATGGTCTTTTTTCAAGTCCCTACTAAAACCTGAAATGAAAAATAATTCCAAAGAGACTTATTGGGTGTGTTTAGCTAGAAACCTTTTTTTTTTTTCTCCCGTTTTCCCTGTTTGGACCTGCTACCAACTATGTGAGGCAGAAACTTAACATACAACCATTCAAAGTCAAGTCCTGTTTCTGCCAGTGGTTAGTGTTGTGAACATGGTAAGTAACAACAGATATGAAATCTCCCCCTTTATATTAAAATGTGTAAAATACCGCCTACTCCGCCTACCTCCCCAAATTGTTCATTAAGTTCCTCGGTATGTTCAAGGAGCTGAAAGAAGGCTAGTGCAGACCAAGTTCGGAGCAGGAAGAAAGCAGCGCGAGACCGGGCGGTGCGCGGCCGCAGGCCTCGGTCGGAATGCGTTGTCTGCCGGGCGCTGCCGCAGGGCTTGAAGAAGGCAGGCGTCCAGGCAGCCGAAGCGACCCTGGCTCTGCTGTCGGGGGGCAGAGAGAAAGCAGGAGGTCAGCAGGACACTTAGTCATCCAGTGAGAAGTGACCACACTGGTGGAAGTGGAGGTTTCAGTAGGGAGTTGAAAAAAGACCATTTTAAGAACTTTTTAAAAAAATTTTCTTTGCATTTAATACGTATATGCTAAGGGATCTTTGAATAAGTGTAAAAGGTCTCCTACCCTTGGGTTTTATGACAAATCATGTCTGTGATTACAGGGTGTGTTCAGTGTATGATTGGGCATAGGCCGGGCGCTAGGCATGATGGGAAGAACACGGGAAGCACGCTGTGAACCGTGGATAGGGTGGCGCACTGTGCAAGGCTGGTGCCCACGGGCACCGAGAGGAGGTGCCACAGTCCTCCCTCGTAGAGCTCACAGTGACGACAAAGGCCGTATACGAAGAGCTGAACAAGAAAAGATTTCGATGTTATAGCGAAAGGTGTGGAAGGAAGGTATTCAGAAAGAGAACCAAAAGTGAAGAAGCAAACAACGGATGAAGACTTTCTAATGCTGCTCGACTGCGGAGGAGTGTGCTCTGTGTAGTTTAGGTGTTTGAGAAGGATCCTTGATAACAGTTACTTCCTCAGGGATGGACACTAGGAGAAATGCATTTTAGGTGGGGACTAGAGAATTTATATTACATATTGGGACAGACTACAAAGAAGAGTATATGATTCTAGGACGTATGCATTTATTCGTGGGAGATGGGAGTGAAGCAGAAAGGATATGTGCTAACTTTGTGAGGCATTTGATGGAAGTAAACATCAGTGATTTAAAGAAACCTGTAGTGTTTCCCTGAGTTATGGAGTGTTTATAGCATTTCTGGTGGTCCTTTGTGTATGAACCAGTTCTACTTGTTGATTCACAGCAAGATAGAAACTGTGTATGCATGTGTGTGTACACACGTTCACAAGCTTTAGATTAGACTCAGAGAGCTATTCAAATATTGACTTTGAGTTGTTTTGGTTTTTTTTGTTTTGTTTTTTTATCCTCACCCGAGGACATTTTTTGATATTTTGTTCAGACAGAGTGGGAGGGAAAGAGAGAGAGAGAGAAACATCGACGTGAAAGGGACACATCGAGTAGTTGCCACCCGCACAACCCAACCAGGGCCGGGGACAAACTGCAACTGAGGTACGTGCCCTTAGTGGGAACCGAACCAGGGTCTCTGGGGACCGCAGGCCGATGCTCTAACCGCTGAGCCAAACCGGCCAGGGCTGACTTTGAGTTTTTTAAATAGATTTATTTCGAATATAAAAAAGTCTAAAAAATAAGCAAGGTAAAAAATCTCTCTACTATTCTTGACCCCTAACTAATTCTCATGTACTCTGTTTATAAGTTCTTATTTTTTGCTTCCGGACAATTTTTATGAATATACATAGGGTCACACACACATCTATACTTATAAACCTCTGCACTGTCCTCACCCAAGGACATGTTCATCAGTTTTAGAGAGAGGAAGGAAGGAAGACAAACATTGATGTGAGAGAGAAATGGATTGTTTGCCTCTTGTATGCACCCCGAGTGGGGTTTGAACCCTGTAGTTTTTTGGTGTAGGGGGAGGGGATGATGTTCCAGCCAGCTGAGTCACCGGCGAGTACTGTCCTTGGTTCTGAGAACAGTGCTGAGCATTGGGTCAGCACCCTGAAATCTTTGCTAGTTGAACATCAGAGTTTTTATACTTAACTGTTGTTTAACATTCATTAAGAAATACATGTTTTTTCTGTGAAGAAATGGATACTGTATAACGCTTTTCTTTCTATGTTTTGTGTGTGTGTGTGCGCTGTTTATTCTTTTAGCCCCTTGTGCTGTCAGAAATCTGCAAGACTTGGCTCGTATTTACATCCGCCGCACACTGAGAAACTTCATAAATGACGAGATGCAGGCCAAGGGGATTCCTTCAAGGGCTCCGCCCAAAAGGAAACGAAAGCGAGTTAAACAGAGAATTAACACCTATGTGTTTGTGGGCAACCAGCTGATTCCTCAGCCACTAGACAGTGAGGAGGATGAGAAAATGGAGGAAGACAAAGAGGAGGAAGAGAAAGATCTCAGTGAAGCCATGAAGCCAGAGGAGCCCCCTCAGAATCTGCTGAGAGAGAAAATCATGAAGCTCCCCCTCCCTGAATCTTTAAAAGCTTACTTGACATATTTTAGAGAAAAATAATTTAAATCACGAAGAAAGAATGCCTACTGATAATTCCTATAGTCTTGAAAATGTAGCATTTGTTAGAAGTTAAAAGAGAGAGACATCTCTTTTATCAGAGCAAATTATAGTGGGAAAAAAAGTATAACTTGTTCCTCTCAGTAATAAAAATGATGTATTCGGTGATTAAAAAGAATCCCTTTTATAAAATATATTTTTCTTTAAATCTTGGAAAAATTGCTGTTTTAACTCAGAATGACTTCAAGAGTGGAATACAACAATAGTCAAGATTTTGTGTACTGTAAATCTTTTTCTGATTTCCTGCGGATTTGTAGTAGTGAGGGTCAGACTTAATTTTATATAAAGTTAAATGTTAAGCATATAGAGTCTTATTTGAACTGCAGTTGTCTGCCTTTCCTCTGTGGAAACTGATGCTTTGTAGACCCACTCACCTTACTTTCCTTTGCAGTCACCACTGCGGAGTGACTTAGATGTATTCCGGGCAATATATGAGTGCAATAACAATACAGATATTGAAACATTTAGCTTTAAAAAATGTTCCATGGAATTCAACAGCACTGCTACTTTGCTTTTGAATCTATTGCCAAAAGACATGGGAAAAATACCTGCTTCTCTCGGAGAGATTTTAAGAGCACACATCAAGTGAATATTCAAGTAAAAAGTATATGCTTAATACTCTTCATTTGTATGGACCCTTTACATTTTCAGTATTTAAAAATAATGAGGTTGTATTACTCTTTGGAGTTTTAGAAGACAGTATATTTAGGATTTTTTTTTCTATAGTCCACTGTATAAAGTATTTGGTTTTTAAAAAATCCATTGTTGTATATGACTTGATAGCACAGTGAGGGAATGAATAAGCTTGAGTCGTGGCCACTTCTGGGTCGTGCTCAGGAGCAGGCCAGAGCATATTGGGTTGGCAGGTGCACTTCAGCAAACGGAGCTTGGAACTCATTGGGGATTTGTCTTGACCTAGCTAGCCTACATTCGCTTTGAAGTTCATTTTCGTAGTATGAGAAATAATCATAAATTGTATGTAGATGGCTTTTGCTTTGAAAATGTAGTTCAGAATCATAGTGTGTTTGGGACCTACATTGTGCTCATTTAATTTCTTCCCATGTCTGTTGTTTCTAGGTAAAATTATATTGATTTTCATTTTTTGCTTAATGTCACATATTTATCATTTGTTAGTAGTAGCTTTTCAGTAATAACACAGGTAGTAAATGCCATTTTTAGTGTCTTTTCATCATACTAGGGCCTGAAATCAGTCATTCCTTGTTAAGAAGATATACAAGTTACATATTTAGTAATCCGTGTTACAAGGATTATTTATTATTTAAAAGGAAAAAATTGAGAGTATCACTTATTACCACCAGCATCACTGTTACAATAGTTGATCGAACATGCTTGAGGAAACCCAGTCAGTGTGTCGTGAAAGGATTAATATCTCTCCAAATATTCAACCTAGTAATACATAGATAGTTTCAAAAATCCAAGTTCTGGGAATTCTATACGTCCAAAAACAAGCATTTAAAATATTCTAAGCCTAAATGATCCCAAATAAATGAGAATATGTTAGTCATGTAAAAGATAATTTCATGGAAGCTGCTTGTTTTGTTATTTTTTCCCCCTTTATTGATTTTAGAGAGAGGAAGGGAGAAGGAAAGAGAAACATCGATGAGAGATAACATCAATTGGCCACCTCCTACATGCTCCTCGTTGAGGACTGGCCCACAGCCTGGGCATGTGTCCAGACCGGGAATCGAACCAGGGGCATCTTGGTGCAGGGTCGATGCTCAACCACTGAGCCACACTGGCCGGACAAAGCTCTTTGTTTATACCAGTGACAGGCCAGAAGTAGGGTTGGGAGTATCTCCACAATTTTTCTCACATGATTGTAAGCTGTTTTTGTTAAGAAATGCCTCATGTTATTTCTTTCAAGGAAAAAGATAATTCATACAATTGTCTACTTTATTTTTAATTATATATTATTTTTAGAAGTTTAATCTTGAATTCCTGGTACCCATGTATTTTTATCTAGCACCCCCCCACCCCCAACACACACACACACCCCTTGTTGTTTTTGGAGCTGATATCCAGATATACAAATGTACATATTCTTAAATGATGGTTTTACTATCGGGAGAGAGTATTTGTTAAGGCTGAATTTGAAGACTGACTTTTTCATAGCATGTTTCATTCTGTTGACCTTGGCAGAGTGTATGATAGATTTTCATGATTGCATATTTTTGTCATTGAAATGTATCTTTTTTTGTTTTTAAATGCATTCATTTTACAGTTGTGTCTTTATTGACTTTAAATAAAGAAATAGAAATAAATGAAAATTCAAGTGAAAGTCCTTTTATGTTTTAATGGGAATATATTAGAGTGATTAACAATATATTGGGTTTATGTTTATTTTTTAATGCATTCATGTTTACTTGAGTGTAGGTAATTATGCTTTATAAGTGGAGAAGTAGCAAATAAAAAATTAAATGTAATTAATTGAAAATGATGAGGAATATATCATGTGATTTTAAGCCAAATAAAACAATAGGAATAATCTAATCCTGTCAATTATTTTGCAAGAGAAAGCAGATTTTCCTGAATCAGACAGTTAGTTGGAAATGGCTCAGAATAGCATCCAGCAACTGACAATGACACCATAACTACTAAGAAAATAATTTAAATCTATGCTGCTTATTGGTCTATATATTTGGTTCTAGCATTAATAAAGGAAAATGTCTTGAAAATGGCATATATAGTGGTTAAAATGAAATACAAAAATAATGTAAGTGTTGGTTTCTATCTGTCTTGGGATAGAAGTGAAGCAAAACCTGTTAAATTATGGGAAGACTTGGAAAATTATTTTCAATAAACAGTTGCATATAATTAAACACTGTTTCTCGGCAGCCTGGCTTTTCCTTTTTAATTTAGACAATAATACTCCTATGGACGTACGCTGAGTTAGTTAACGGTGCTCTGTATTTGGACATCTAATTTCCTTTTGGCTATTGCCACCTCTGAAGAGTGGAGGGTTTTTAAGAAATTATTTTTATAAAGTGTACAGTAGATATGAAGGATAATTGTAAGATGTATGTAAAGTATAAGGAATAATGCAGTGTACATGTAAATACAGCAAGTCCTCACTTATTCATAGGTTCTTGGTAACTGACTAAGCTAAACGATGTAAAACAAAACTAATTTTATTATTTGCTAATTGATAAAAATTAAGTTTTTACCTTCTATTTCTGGTCACAGAAACATCGTCAAACTTCTAAATAAAGACCCCCAAACACATCTAATATTAAACATTGAAGTAGATGTGAATTACACATCCATTTAAGAAAGATGAACAAAAGAAGACCACTTTTTCGCAGCCTACTTACCGATGCTGGGTTGTGGGTAGCCTGGAGCCTCTCCCGGCAGCTCTGTGTGCCAGCTCTGTGCACACACGGACAGTTAGACACGCCGCTCCACTCGTGCCCACCTGGGTGTGGGAGGAAACCGGAGGACCCAGAGCATACGCACACAGTGGCCTCGCCAGGGATCAAAAGATATTTTTTTCTCATCAATGTTGTAATGACAGGATGCTGAAGGAAATTATTCAAGGAACTAGACTATGTGTGTGTTCCTACTATTAGATTTGACAACTTGATTTACTATTAACTCTGTGCTCCTTCCCAAATCTCATCTTAATCCCTCCCTTCCCGTGGGTGACCCTTTTGTGTTTATCATGACTTGGCCTTTGCTGTAGCAGCTTTAGCACATGTGCATGTATCTTTAAGTTATTATTTGGCTTTATGCATGCTTAATTTCATGTGAGTGGAACCATGCTGTATGTTTCCACTGACACTGCCTTCTAAGATTAGACCATGATGCATATAGTTAGGTTCCTTACATTCACAACTCATATTTTAATTCTACTGTTGGTGGACATGTGTTGTTCCCTCAAATTGTTCTGTTGTGAACATTTTTCAGCATGTTTTGTGGCTATTATACGTGTGCAAGAGTCTTAGTGTGTATATATAGGAGAATTACTGGGTCATGGAACATGTTTATATTCACCTTCAGTAGACGGTACAAATTTGTTTCCCCAAATAGTGTAACAATATATTTTCCTTCTAGCAGTGTTGAAATGTTCCAATTTTCCCATCTCCTCACCTACATTTGGTAGTGATTTTTGCCTTTTTGGTAAGGGATTTGTTACTTATTAAGGAGGTTTTGTTTTTGTTTTGATATTTTCAAGTGTTTCTTGATTTTAGGTTTTCTTTCTATAAAGTTTTAATTCAATTACAGTATTTTATAAAATTTGTTTTTTAAAGAACCCTCAGGCTCCCACTCTTTTCTTTTTATTGATTTTAGAGAGAGGAAGGGAGAAGGAGAGAGATAGAAACACTGATGAGAGAGAACATCGATTGGCTGCCTCCTGCATGCCCCCACTGGGGATTGGGCCCACAACCTGGGCATGTGCCCTGACTGGGAATTGAACCAGTGACCTCTTGGTGCATGGGTCGATGCTCAACCACAGAGCCACACTGATCAGGCCATATTTTATAAATTTTTTATTTGGTAGTTTCTTTTTAAAAATTGTTGAGCCCTGGCTGGGTAGCTCAGTTGGTTAGAGCGCTATCCTGATACCCCAAGATGTGGGTTCAATCCCCCATCTGGGCACATACAAGAAGCAACCAAACTGCATACACAAGTGGAAAAACAAATTAATATCTCTCTTTCAAAATCAATACATTAAAAAAATCTGCTTGTAGGAATTCTTTTTGTAATCTAGATATTAATTCATTGTCAGTTACATGTATTGCAAATATCTTTTCTCAGTTTCGTTTCTGTTCTCATTTTGTTTGTGGTGTCTTGATGAATTGGCATTTCAAATTTTAATTGTGTTCAATTCATCTTCCAATACCCTCAATCCCAAAATCATGAAAAAATCAGCTTACATTTTTACAAAAGTCCTATGATTTCACATTTACGTCTACAGTAAACCTGCTAGGTTTTTGTGTGAGGTGAGAAATAATATGTAGTAGTTTATTTTACCTTGTTGATCAATAGTCTTAGCACCATTTTTTTTTTTAAGTTCCTTTTTCTTCCTCTGATCTCAATATTAACTTTGTCATAAATTACATTTTCATATGTTTGTACTCTACATATTTGGCTTTCTTTTTTATTAGTTGATTTATGAAGCCCGGTGCTAACACTACACCATCTTGTTTACTATAAATTGACAATATTTAGTAAGATAAGTTCTTTCAACTTATATTTCAGGAGTTGGCTATTCTTGGACCCTTAGACTTTGATATACAAGATTGAAGCAGCTTTTCTAATTACACACACACACAATCCTTTTCGGATTTCCTTTGGGATAACATTGAATTTATAGACCAACCTGTGTGAGAATTAGCATGTTTATGATTTGGAGTTCTTCATGAATATAGTACTTCTCTCTTTAGGTCTTCTTAAACATCTTAATAAGGTTATACAATTTTGTCTGACATCTTTTGTTAGATTTATTTGCAGGTATTTTATATTTTTCAATGCTTTGTATTAAAATATTTTGCTCTTATTGATTTTTGTACGTTATTTAAATGTATCCCTATCTCTTGATTCTTATACATTTCCTACATAGACAACCAAATCACCTTTAAATACAGTTTATTTTTCTCTTTGATTTTATTTATTTTTATTTTGCCAGATGTGTTTGTTGGGGTCTCTAGCAGAGTGCTAGATGGAAGCAATAAACAGGAAGAACAGTCTTATTTCTGGTTTTATTACCCCTGCATAGTCATTTTTAATAAAAGGCTTGGTGTGCTTAACAGTATATATTTTCTGCAGTTCTGTGTGGTGGTCTATAAATGTTGAATCAAGTTGTTCAAACCTAATATGATCTAAACACCTTTTGTGTGTGAGCTTACACCATCAGTTTTTAGTAAAATCTCTCTTTAAAGCTAGAAAGTCAATTTCTTGCAGTTCTTTCCATTTTTGCTTTAGTTTGCTGCATCTGTTTGGTGATTTGAACCTTGGAAATTATGTGGAGACCCTCTTTATATTCTCTGCTGATTGCAGTTTTCTTTTGGGTAGTAGCCACCTACTTTCTATTTTTCTTTCCAGCCTTTTCTGTACATTACATTTGGATGTGTTTCTTAATGTCATATAGCTGAGTTCCTTAAAACATTTTTGACCATGTTTGAATTTTACTTGAAGCATTCCATTCATATACATTCATTTAAAATATTATTACAGAATGATATTTTGTGTTATACATTCTTTTCTGTGTTTTCGCTTTCTCCTTTATTAGGATTGATGATTGTTTCTCCCATTTTTTGTCCATGACTCTTTTCTTCTGCTCTTTTATTGGTTATTCTCAACATTTTAATACACTCACTCAACTTGTCAAAACCTGGAGTCATTCACACCCCCATCTCGTAAGTGATAAGGTCACTTTAGAAGCTCTTTAACTCTGAAGTCATCACCTCAAAATTGTATGCAAGTGTTTTACTTCTGAAATTTTAAGCCCCTATAATACACCATTACTACTATTTATCAAATCATTGTTTGACTAGCTATAGTCCCACGTTTACACTTTTTTTCTGCTTGTTTTTCCTTCTTGAATCATGTATTATCTTAATATTCTTTTGCCTGTAGTACATCCTTTTAAATATTCTTTAATGAATGACGGTAGGTAGCTGACTCTTTGTC